TGATGCCGTTTTAAGAAAATAAAAATTAACACAAAATACTCCAGAATTGGATAAGTAACATTAAGCGAAAACACTATTTATGTTATAATACGTAAGAACTGCACGTCGATCTTCTTTTTTTTTGTCCTTGAGGGCCTTTGCAAGACTAGTTCAATAAACGTGCTACCTCTCTTTATGGCAAATTTATTGTTATAAGCGCTACAGTTAACCCGAAAGACCACGCGAGTGGGTGTGTTAACCAACAAAATTTAAAATAAAAAATATTACAAAATAACATGAAAGCTCATCAGTTAGCAGAATTTGAAAAATAGTATGAGTATACTATTTGTTAATAAAATGACCATTAATAACCTCAATTTGCTTTTAATTTTCTATCGTTGTTGATAACAATAAAGATGTTAAGGATAACTATTGCTGAGCAGTTTTCTTGCCGTTTTAAAATCCTCTACTTTAACTTCGAATTTGCTATAAATATGTTACTTATTTGCATGCATAAAACAATCTACAGCACGGTTTTTCGTGTCAACCTCACTAGTTAAATTCTACGCACAGTTTAACAAGTGACCCGAGGTTCTAATCAAAAAAAACTCCACAGAGTTTTTCTTACTTAATGTCTAAAAAACATGTCTAAATTTAGCGTGTAACTCTTTTAATGCTTTTTAAAACTAACTTAACATTAAAAAAATTGTAATTTTTAAATATGCGATGCAGCCTTATACGATAACTACCATACAGTCATAAAGGTTTATTTAGGGCCCTGTACTTATTGCCTTATTCAGTCTGTATGGCAGCCTTACCTAAGGAGGATCACGCAATCCCAACCTTAACCAATAGATGTTTGCACTACTTTTTACCACTTTTATAGGCTTCTGCCTAAATACATTTACTATGAGTAGCGAGATGGTATAAAAATTGGAATTAGTGTGCTCAAGGCAAAATATTTATCTGTATTAAGAGGAAGAAGACACCAGACAAATATTTCAAAGCCATCAGAGCTGACTTCCCAAGGTTTCATATATTAAATATCATTAAGTTATAATTGACCTTAAAATATGGTTATAAAGAAACACACAGCTAAGCTATGGAGGCTGTGGCTTCTTTCGAACACACGCCTCTTCTATCCGGGTGTTCGTCTCTCAAGCGTTTTTAAGAAATTTCAGCATCGGATTAAGCCTAAAGAAAAGTTACTAACGCCCCTTAATTTATTAGTAATACTTAATTGCATAGATGTTAAATATCAAATTATAAAAATTTTTTAAGGGTGTTTAGAGAAATCTATTAATGGAGTAATGAAATTTTATGGAAATCCTCCTACGACCCTTTCGACTTTACTGTATAATAAAGGTCTAAATCTTCTTTATCATCAACATAGAGAAGTTATGGCATGTTGTTCAATGTGACTACAAACAATAAATGGAGTAAAGACATTTGTTGTAACTGCGTTTTGTCATATACAAAAATAAATAATAATGATAGAGAGATATCACTGTGTACCAAATCGTTTTTATTTTTTAATTATTTTGAAAATTTATATATATACTTTGGTTTATTTACTGACCTATATTTATTAAAAATTAACGATATATAGTATGTGCACACCAGAAACTATTAACTATATATACGTTTATATACTTAAATTAGCTTAACACGTTTTTTGTTCCTTTTTGATTAAGCTATTTCAGGTTAAATCGCCAAGTCAGCAACCTTAAATATAAATTTTATTTATGACCTAAAATTTGCGCTTACCAGAATTAACGAGAAGCAGTTCGTTCACTTTAAACGAAAAGTTATTGTCAGTATACGACTGGATCTCTATTAATTGCCTCTAATCCCTTTTTTAGTCTCTTTCTACGAGACGAGAATATAGAGAACGCCTAGTAATCAACTATTGAAATTAACACAACGAAAACATCGCAGTAATAATTATACGGATATGCAGCAATAGCCTGCTGTAGTTCCTCTCCTGTGTGAAGGAAACACTTTTTTTTACATTTACAAAGTGGTCGTAATAACATTAGTAATACTACCATCCTTCATATTTTTCGGCTGACCACATAATTATCAAAAGCTATTTCGAGTTTTAAAGTTATCAATTACCTAATTACTGACCTATAAAAGTGCTGAACTTATGGACTCCTAGAATTCAACCACTGAAGGTTATTCGTATGAAAAGTATTAGAATAAAACAAAAATTTTTTCTTTGACGCTAATTCATAATTTAAAATTTAAGGTTTCGATATCAGTTTTACAAGTTTTGGGAAAAAGTTCTATCAAGTCTTCACGGCGTTATTTAGTCATAGTCTTCTTTCTGCATCTCTTTTATGAAGTGTGCAGACGTGGGGTAACCATGATTCTGCCAGCAATACAAAAACACATTGTTCCTTCGCACTGCTCTATTCGAAGGGCACACATCGCCTATTATTCGGGTTGTTCTATTTATCGCCTTAAAAATTTTCACTTGCGTAAACGTTTTCTCCCAACAACTCGCACCATTGCATCTTACCCCTAATAAACTAACTATAACGCACCAAAAGGTAATAATAGAAGTATAAAACTTTATAAAAATATGAGGTAAGTAGAAAGGCAATATCAACTATAGATGAACTAACAAAGCGAAAGGACTAGAAAAAACTCAAGAAGAACAAGCAGAATGATCAGAACAGAATAAAACAAATAAGACGCGACCAAATAAATTATAACAGGACCCCTTAACAAGAAAGGGGAACCTAGACCATGAATAAAATAAACAAAACTTGTGTAACTCCTCGCTCATCTAGGACACTGTGTGTGCAAAAAATACCGATAAGTGGCCAAGTGCACTATATAAGGGATTATACGCAAAAAACTAACCTATTCATCAGCAACACATACATTTACCTGAGTAAACAAGAAATCACATAAACTATTATCTGAAGCTAAATCAATCACCATGGTAAACTAATTATCTTTAAATAAATTGTTTTTAAATATTTTGGCAGGAAATAATTAAACCAAAAATTCTAAATAAAACTAAACATATTTATTAGATATAAAATTTAATTTAAACATAAACGGAAAAATTTTGATGTCCCTTTGTAAATTTATAAATGGTTAGATTGGTTTAAAACCCATATCCCTTCTTTTTGTTCTTGCCATCCCTGTTTTTGGTGTTATTATAGGGCCTCTTCAGGTTACCACTGTCTATTTCAATAATTATTATTTTGACAAGTCGGGTGGCTGGCATAGCTATAACAAAATTATTTACGAACTTAAAAAAATTTATATAAGTTTTCCACTATGCCATACCCGTTAAAAAATACCTAGTCAAAAGAGAAAAGATCTTAAATAAACCACTACACATAATAAAAGTAACGTACCTAATTAAGAGATTCTGCTGGGGTCTTCATATAAATTTAAGATTATAAAAACAAGTTTATACGCAACGCAACCTCAACTATTTTATTACTTTGTTAATTCTAAACTCCACTTTGTGTAGTCCAAATTAAATAATAAAGGGAAGGATAACCATAAATTCTTTTAATGAATTACTTCGCGTCACACCCGACAGACTTTCACCCTTCGAGCAAGTAAGTTGTTTTAAGGTCTTTATACGCTGCTTGTGCACGAATAAGCCTAATTGGCTCTTTCATGTTATTTAACGCAATCTTTAATCTTAATCTTATCTGCCTTCATCTATTAGCCATCATCAGAGCTCATTTTCCTGGAAGTGTACGGCGAACACTACAAAATATTTAGAAATACAGAAACTTTAAAGTGTGCAAAGGGAGTATGACAAAAATTTTGAGGAGGCCATCAGATATGGGAAATTGAGGTTATTAACCCAAAGTAATTGAAAACAAAAGACCAAAAGCAGAATTTGTCTAAAAAATTAGAAAAACCACGCCGCGCCTTTCTCAGCTCAGCTTACGTTAAGATTGTTTAAAACTAAAATAACAAAAACTTTTAATGCAAAGCTGACAGCGTTGTTCTATTTATTTATTATGCTACTATACTTCTGAGCAGCAGCCTTTATATAAAAAAAACAAAGGAAATTTGGGTTCTATTTTAACCTAACTACTTGATTGGGATGTGTTATTCTTTTGTTATTTAAATGAGTGTCTACTTAAAAAGCCCTCTTTTATGGTATTTATCCTATCCTATAGTTTACTCAACTAAAGCAGTAATTATACTAACCACTGTAGTATTTTTTATGACCTCTATTTCGGTTATTTATGACTGTATAGGCTCTGAAATAATTTTTTAACTCACTAATCACCCTAACAAAATTTCCAACTGTAAGCTTCAGTAATTAGTAATAAGCCTACGCAGCCTCTTTCTCATATTTTTAGAACAACTTTCAGGCTATAACATACTTTCTCTCGTGATTATTACAAGTCAACTACAAAGGACTTTGCGTTGTAACGCTTTAGCCTGCAAAGAATTTTGGTACACTAGTCCCCTATCAACTTTAAAGAACACCGTGTAAATCTATAAAACTTTTTGAAGTCAAAGGGGTGTTATTAAGCCAAAAAAGGTAAAGGGGTTTTGCGTTGATTGTACGGTTGTGTAATCTAGTAGCACATGTCAACTGACTTTTACCTGTTAACCTAAAAATCGCTTTCCTTAGATGCTTTATAATCAAAATTACAATTTGGTAAAGCACTGACACTTAAAAATGCCACGTGCCCACCTTAAGTTCTTCGCTTAGTTATTCATCATATATAACACTGTCATACAAAAGCCAGGTCCAACGTTTACGGGCCCTACTAAGTTTTTATAATATATGGCTATTGAGAAGGTCAGTTCGAGCTTACTTGTCCGGCGGTGGACGCCAAGGTGCCTCGCTAAATTATGTATCATAATACTTATTAATACTAATCGCACCAACAGTAATTCAGTTGCTCGGGGATGGCCTCCGCCCCCCCCCCGTCATATGAAAAGACGGAGAAAATTTGACATACTAATAATAAGAAGCAATACTTAACTGATAACTTTATTAAAGTTTGTTGCCGACATATAGCTTAAGTAAAGGTCCTCACCGGAAGATAGTACTCAGCCGAGTCGGGTCGGGGAAGCAAGTTTTCTTTTTCTAAAAAGGATTTAGGGAAGTCGACTAAATTCCCGCGAATCTTTTCCAGTTGTTTCCTAGCTGAGCTCGTTTTATAAAATTTTAATGATAGACAGCGTTACTGTTTTATATATCATATAGTAGAGTAGTCTTAGATAATTTTACAGTATGAGTTTAGCTGGTTAGCAGAAAAAAGAGATATTATATATATGCAATTATTCATTATTTTCTGCTCAAACTTGTTGAAATAAAGTAAGGGCATTGTGGTTTTCAGGTCATTAAGTACACCACAGTTGAATAAGAATATCATCAAATACAATTATTATTAATTTTAATAAAATTTATATAGTTTGATAATTTATATGTAGCAAGTTAAGAAACGACCATTAAAAAAACGCAACGTAAAGAGAAAATAGAGAATATTATATAAAAAAAGGCAATAATAATAAAAATAAATAAAGTAGATAACCGGAATTCTTATCGGATATAGAAGGAGGGTGAGAATTTCTTCTCCAGAGCTCCAGCTAATAAAAAAGTGACCATGTGTACATAACTTACTAACGAAAGTAATAATTTGCAGCAATTTATATTATTCACTATCTCAAATCAATTTGTTGCCAAATACAAAACTTAAAAGTTATTGCAACGTCAGAATGCTTAATTATTGAAGTGCTTACGTCCGTCCACGTTTTTATATGATTATTAGGAATAGAGCGGAATACCTGATATGAGTAATAATTATAATTATAACGATAATATAACGTTATACGTTATCGTATATCGTGGTGTTTTCTCCTGAAATTTTATTCCAAATGTTATAAAAATCATCGCTAACGCAATCAATGCATACGTCGTCCGAAAAACCCAAATGTTCCGCAAAAAGTTTCTATAAATAAGTATTTTTATTATTGTTAACCTCATTGTTAAAATTCCACCATTCTGAGGGCATGAATGGACTTTCCCACTTTGACAAGTTTACCATTAAGTTTGATTTCTACTAATTCATTATCCTAAAGTAATAGAGTAATAAGAAAAAAAATTATAATAAAAAAATAGTTTGACAAATTATCAACATCCTCGGAAGTCAGAAAGAAATATAAATAGAATTGCAGAGAAAGAATAAAATTATATTTAAAATAAAAAAACAGGCGTTTGCTAGAAGTATGTTAAGCAAATATAGTTTTGCTATTCCAATGGCACTAGAATGCTGATAAACTGTAATAATATTAACGATAATTATTAGTAGGGAGGCGAGTCCGGAAAGTCGATATCGCTTTAATTGATAAGTAAACTCTTGCTAATAAACTTTTACTTCGCAGGTATAAATAACGTAAACCTCTTTATATTAAAAAAAACAGTGCATAAAAAAGTTGGATTACTTCAATTATTGCGGCTATTTCACTGTCGCGATTCCCCAATAAACTTCTGTCATTAATATTAGCAGAACCGCAAATGGCCTATACATAAAAAAGGGGAAACTCACTATTGCTGCGACCCTACAAGTATGCAATAAATAACAAGACTAACTCTAGAAAGAGACTAGGTTGTAAGTACATACTTTAGATTAAGTTTATAATGTTAAAATATATAAGCTGACAGGTACATATGCCCCAGTTAAGTTTCGTAATAAAGTTTCCTTATGTAAAAAAGGTATAAACAAGAAACAAGAAACCTTCTCGTCGTCTACAATCATGAGTTTGCTGTGAATGTATATTTGGTTTTCTATAAGAGCGTCGTAGAGGACGTCCCAGCGCCTCAGACAGTTGACGGCGATGTACTTGGAAGAGTCTCCCACAAGAGCGTCAAGCCTACAAGTAAATATATACAAAATCTATTAGAAGTAATATTTTCTTAATAAATATAAAAATCATCGTTAAAAGTTATCTATTTTTACAAAAATGAAAGACATAATAAAGTGTGGAAAGCGATATAGAGAATAATTGCAGTGAAGTTCCATGAAAGTTTTGTAGCAAGAAACCTGCCCATCAGAGAAGATTTGCCACGTGTAAGAGACGCGTATTGCCAGTGCATTATAATGGTAGTGGAGGCAGTCCCCATACCAATTTCTCCTTTTGGGATTATTACTATTATTAGCTAGTGTTATATAAGCAATGAAAAAAAACCTTCGAAAGCAGGTATAAGAGGAAGCAGTATAAAAACACGGAAGCGCTCATTGTTTTCTGCTGCTCTTTTCTAAAAAAGTATATATCGACATACCAAAAAAAGGTTAATAAAAACTTTTTTACCACGCGTTCAACAATTGCATTAGCCACGAGGTTTTGAACGTCACCTCCGCAGGATATGAAGAACTTTAAAAAAAGTAGTGACACAAAAAGATTAATATATAATTAACTTTTTAAGTAATTGCTATTATTTTAACGGTTTTACATAAAGTATAAGAAAGGAAACTATAGAATCCTTTAAGTTCATAAAAAAAGAAATAAGAAATAGGCCTGGCGTGCCTGGTTTTCAATGTATATAAAGTGCTTCGCGTGTTCAATTAAGCGAAGATAAGCGCTTTGTATAGATTTTTCGGTGTCGATGCCGCATGACCTTCAAGATGGTATAATAAAGTTTCACTATTACGGTCTGCGGCGGACGTCGAAGTTACCAAGGCCCGCACGATCGAAGAACTTGGACAGTAGCACAAGTAAAGTTTTTTATAGGAAAATCAGAGCGTATCGCAGGAATGCCCTCAAGCAAGGACGCCGCGCTCTCTACCGCAAACTGTAGATGATGCGTTAAAGTACAAAACTTATTAGTATGTAACAACTGATAAATATTAAGCATACAATTTAGTACAACTATTATATAAAAAGTTGCCTTAAAAAGATTTATTGTAACAAAATATGAATTAAAGCAGTGAATCGTTAATGGCACGTGGTGCATGTGGTGAGATCCAATGATATAATTACGTCTAACTTCGGCAGCAAGTAAGGCACGGCTTCATCATACTTGTATTTCTGAGTTTTCACGTGGTTATATCTCTATCAAGGCCAATAAGAGACTTACCTCGGGCTGTAGATGTAATAAGCGATAAAGAAAGTCACTTGAATGAAATGGCGAGCAATGTCACGTGAACTTTGACCAATCAAACAAATAGCAAGATCATGCCAGGGCAAGCGAGGCTGAGTCCAACGGTCGAGACTGTCCATGTCCCACTTGCTTAGGTCATAGAAGTCCCGTATGAGCGGATTGCTATAGTCCTTACCTGCAATTAGAGAGTTGAGAAACTTTAATGGTTCCATAACTACAAAAAAGTACTTTCAGCAGATAATAAATGATAGCGCAAAAGTTGAACTATTACAAAAGTTTTAACAGTTTCAAAAAAAAAACTTCTTAAGAAAGAAGTTGCACCGTATGAAAAAGCAAATGAGGGAACACCCCACAAAATGCCGGAGAGTCACGTGGTCAGACCACGAAGCCTACCAAACAAACTAGGTCATGCTGCTGTCTAAGTATACAGGCCCACACGCTTTCATAGGTCGCAGCGACGGGGCCAAATAATAAAGCCTATAGCTACTACCTGTGGAGCACTTTATAATAATATAATATTATGTCTATTGTAAAAATTATAACACCAAAGTTATACCGATCCAAGTAGGAGAGGGCTTAACTAAAGGCTTCATTCTCTATTGGTTAATTATACATATTAACGGCCCAATAAGCAACACAGGTATAAGCATTGTAAAAATCAGTAACTATTAAATTTTTTTTAATATATTAAGATCTAAAATATAGAATTTTCATTAAATTAAATTATTTAAACAGTATAAAAGTAGTGTAGCTTCAAAGTTTAATAACAAACGCAGGAACGCAATAAGTTAACGGGGAGCTCATATTTATGTTAATTAGTATTGCTTTCCTGTTTTATTATTAAGAGTATGAATTTGTTTCAAAAAAAAAAACGAAATAAAACACTTTCTTTTTATATGCTAACTTACTATCTACGGAGTAATACAAAGAAGTTAGATACAGTTAGTATTAATAGTGTTAGTTATACATGAACAAAAAAAAGAATATAAAAAACAATTATAAATTATAAATTTTAAAATAATTTTATAAAATGTTATAATATAAACATGCGAACTTTATAATACATGTATTCAATGTGAAGTACGGAGTCGGACTCAACAAACTGCTCGTCCTCGCCTCTTAAGAAAAAAAATTGAAGTAATATTACTTATATTATAACAAAAATAATTAATTGTAAACGTTATAAAAATATAAAAATAGTTAATAAATATTAATCATTATAACAAAAAAACAATAGAAGTAATTTATTATTATAATAAACGTGATACATAGATATTGTATTCTTATAAATCGACTAACGCATTTTATTAAAATTTTATAGATAGAAAAAATACTTGTTATTACAATCAAAGCAAATAGGAACGACCGAATAGTCTTTAAAGTTTATAGTATTTTCATATTTTTTTATACTGCCCACTTTTGCTGAGCTGCTCCGTTGGAATAAAATAAAGGAAAACAAAACTTGAGGGAAGTGAAGGGCACATTTATTAAAGAGAAATAGACTATTATAAAGCAACGATTGGTCACGTTTTTTACACAGCAGAATAATTCATTATGATAAATGAATAAAACTACTCATCAAGCAATAATCCCAGAAAATACTCTCATCATAGTATTTTATAAATTTAATATCAAATAAATTTTTTAAAACTAAACAATGAATATATAAAAAATTGTTTTGCGGTGTTTCTTTTATTTATAATTTACAAATAATAATTAAGAAAAAGAAATACTGAGCATCCATTGAAAATAATATAAATAAATATATCGAAATTATTATAAATAGTAATTAAACTGAGTCTCAAAAAACGGTTAATAAAACGTTAATAGCGCAAATTCAAGTTACGACTATGAAAAAGTAAACTATAATTATGACACCGAAGAAATTTTCATACTTTAAAAGCTTCACTTCCGATTTCAATGGCTTCTCAGTTTCCTGTAAGTCTTCAATAGTTATAATTCCTTCGTATATATAAAAGTACATACTAAGTGCTGCTATTAGTTCGTGTTTTTAGATTAGCTTTCAAATAAATATTTTAAGTCGTGAATGACGTGAAAAGCAGGCAAAAACCAGTTTTATTTAAAAACTCCAAAAATAAAGCAACGCTTTTACACTCTCAACTGTAAATATGTACACGGGCATAACAGTTCGAGCAAAAGAACTTTGTGGATAGCACGTGGTCCACAATAAATATAAGTAAAAGCCTTTTTCTTAAGATTTTTGCTCTAACCATAAGAAAACTACATTTTATATACGAAGCGAAAGTGAGAAGCAGGATAAATTATAGTCAATAAAAAACCTTTACAGGTTAAGCTTTTGATATTGGGGTCGGAAACAGAAATAACAAATAAGAGCTCTTTCACTCCTTTATCAAGTTTAATCCTGAAGAGCACATCAAGAATAATAAAAGTTTATACGAAAAAAAGAAAATCCACATAAAACTTTAAAAAAATTTTCGTTGTACATGAAACTTAAATGTAACAAGTTAACGGTGCGGGCATAAGTAAAATGCGTGTGTTCCTCGAAAGAGCCGCAGAGGATATTAAGTTTTGCTTCGATAAGCAGGTTGGAATAGTCATAAGCTGCTCGCATAAAAATTTGTTAAGGACAGCATCAAACTTTATAACTATTTTATAATAACTTTTTAAAACTTTAAACTCGGCTAAATTTGACTGCTTAGTAATGTAGAAACAAAAAAAAATAAAGTAGTTCATAATATATGATTTTGAAATTGATAAAGTTTTACAAAGTCATTGATATGCTTTCTATTAAAGCAGTTATCATTCTTAATTTATGAACCTGTCACGCTTCATTGTTCATTATAAAGTTTAAAATTATTATTAAATATAAGACGTTAAAACTTAAATTTATTTAGTGGATTACTTTATAAACTTTTTATCACTCCAGTAATTCTCAAATATTTTAAATATATTCAACTTTTTTCCTATCACCTTAAATTCATTATAAGCACGTGTTTGCAAATAATAGCATTAAAAGTTCTAAATACTCTTTTTAATCCGTTTGTACAGCAACTAAATAAATTTGTTTATCTTCCGCATATTTTCTTTTTTCTGTTTAGTGTTATTATTAACAAAATCTTACACAAGTGTGCTTAGAACTTTCCTTAAGATAACAAATACCAACATTTGAAATAGAAAAAGCAATACTACAAAGCAAAAAAATATATTTTTTTCATTGATTGTGCACAATTGTTTTTGAGTAAAAAGAAATGATCGAGTAGTAATGCAAACTAGAAAGTGCGCCCCCATTAGCTGGCATTGAGCTTTGCAGCATTTCCTTGGCATCGCGTCATGTTTAGTGTAAGCAGGTCTTACCAGCTTATCAAGTTTATTTCTATGCGCGCATGCTGGTTTAACGCATTGAATAGGAAACGCCTCAAAAGCTGTTGAAGCAAAAACTAATGCAAAGTTGAGACTGAAATATATTCGATGTTATTTTACTTTTTAGTGAATATAAAATTTTTCATTATTTTTAACTTCAACTTAAAAAAAAATATATATAAAACAATCGGCGAAAATATAGTGAAGGTGGCAAACTCGTTATCTAAATACCGATTCGTTCTCGTTGGTTCATTATCTACCTTTAAGTTTATGTATTCAGCTAAAACTGAATTATAATTTTGTGTGCTTCTGCAATAGCTAAAGCACAGTATTTCCATTATAAAGTTTTTGTTATAATAAGTGCCATAATAAAAGTTATTATAAACTGACTGTGGAAGAGTAATCAATATTTATATATAAGAAAAACCAATAATATATTTTTTTTCTGCCCGAAATAAAAAGATAGAAGAAAGTTAGTAAAAGTGGATTATAAATGGTACAAGAAATCGTGTGTTCTGTATCTCTGCAAGATTCACTATTTTTTTTGAAGCCATGCATTAAAGTTTCCGAAAACAACGACCTTCATTAAATTAAAAATTCAATAAAAATGGTAAACCCGCTTAGGCTACACATAAATAAGTGTGAATAGTTTATAAAAATTCTTTTTTACTTTCTCACGCTTTGTGCCATTGATGGCCTAATGGGATGTGATTGGTGCCTTCGATGTTTAAACGTTTGTTGTCCTAAACAAAATACATCATAAGTCACGTGTAGAGAAAAGGTAGATCTCCAATGAAGTGTTACTTATTAGTTCAAAGTAGCAAGGGAATATCGAATCCCTAACACATGCTTGGATAAAGAAAAAGCCAATAAAAGGCGACACTTCCGAATACAGAAAATGGATAATACTTGTTAGTGGCAAGGTTTTTGTATTGGACGTAAAAGTTTTTATTAGCTATTAGAACATCAATGAGGGGCCAACGTTTCACCGTACACAATTTGTCTTTTAGCGAAAATGTTGTAAACGCGGAAAAAATAGGCCCCCGAACATTAACCAATAACTATGGTGTGAGAAAGTCAAAGAAAAACACGAGTATCCTTATACTATTCTCAGTGATAAAAGTTTGAAACAAAAAACTCTACTAGCTTAGGAGTTTTTTCCGTAAAAACACATATGACAAACTGCAACAAAAATATCCATTCAACCAATAACAATAACTTTTATCTAAAAAAAAATAAGAAAATATATATTTTACTTTCTGAGCGGTTTAGTTCGGAACTTGAAGATTCTTGTGCGGTTTTTTCGATTTTATCCGAACCTCGAAGAAAAATAAAAGGGAGTTGTAAGTATTCTCTATTCACTTTGTCATAGTGTTAAGTGTTTTAGTACTCAATAATGTATACTATACTCTCGTAATATTAAAGCTACCAACAAAGTATAAGGCTACGAATAACAACAACACAGTTGTTAAAAACTCGAATCAAACGTGTCTGTGGCTTGCACGTTGTAACAAACACGCGCGCGCAGTTATATAAAAAGTTTACCATAACTTCTATTAAAAAGCCCAATAATAAAGTATAATACTTCGTGAACTTTTTGGAGCGGCAGAAGAGGGGGTGTGACGCGTTTTCGGCGCTTTCGAGTTCTTTGATAACCTGAAGTAGAGAAAAATAACTATAATAATAGGAATTATTAATAAAATGGAAACGAGCAAAACCCCCAGGAAGGCTGATTGGTGTTCACCTTTCCACTAGAAGGAAGAGGCCCTCAGAAATATAACGACAATAACAGAAAAAACAATATAACAAGAAACTTAAACTACCGGAAGAGAAAGAACGGCTGTGCAAAAGAGACATTTTCTTAGAAAAAGAGCCACGTGGGTCTATGAGAAAAATAGTACCATAAGACGTATAAAGTAGGATGCAATAGTGAAAGAGAAGATAATAAAAATAAATATATAAGTTAGATAATATATATTAAAAACTAATAAATAAAAAACTTAAATAAATATATATAAAGGAAAATGCATGAACAAGTTTCCGTAGAGAGTAAAAGTAAAAAAGTATTAAAAAAGATAATATATTAAAAGTAAGTAAGTCGTAGGCATAAACTTATGAAAGAATCAAAAACCACTACATATTTAACTGCATTAAGTATTATAAATATAAAATCACCTTGCTTTTGGTGCTGGGAAAGTTGAACAACGTCGTTGTTGTCACAATACCGAGTAGGAGAGTATCTTTTACTCATCACTCGCTTCCGTAGCAGTTCCCAGTTTCCTCGGACTCGCTCTTTTTTTTCTTCTACTCCCAAAAAAAACTAGTAATTATTTTTCTATAAAACAAAGCCAACATAGAAAAGTTAATTAAAAAATCTCCAAAAATTGCTAAACCAACATGTTGAATTTTTTACAGCTAAAAAAAAGGCGTCTAAAATTTAATATCCAACAAAAATAAGCATTTAGAACTTCCTTGATGTAATTTTAATGGTAAATAACTGCCTGTCAAAGTTTTTAATGCCCCACAAAATTGGCGAGGGGCCGTTGCCCTCTACGTGGATGTTCATAAACACAACCAAAACTTTGGCTCCAATCATTTGATTCTCTCATTTTATAATGCGACCAGCGCGAAGCCGAAGTAAATATGCTCGACCTCAGCTCGACGTAAATAACTAGAAAAACCAAGCGCGTAGCAAAGTTGTTAATGAAAGCCGAATTTGTCTTGCAGGTGACGCGTTAACCGCAACATTTATAAGTACAAAGGCATGTTAACTAATCAAAAAATTTAAAATGAATCTCAGAAGATTGCTCATAAGATAAGAGAATTGTCTTAGAAGTTGTTGGACGCACAAAAAAATATAGAAAAATAAAATATATTACTTTTAGCCATCTCCGAGGAATTAAATTTTCCAAAATTAAAGGACTTCTAGAGAAAAACCATTAAGATCATAGGCATTAGTACCAAATATAAAAAGTAATGGGCCGCCTCACTATTGAATATTAATAAATAATAGGCGGTCATCATTGGTTAACAAACCAAATCTACAGTGGCGCAAGTTAAATCGCTACCGATTACTATACTCGAAAATTTACAAGCATGGGAGTCACAATAATAAATGATCATCTATTATAAAGAAACCTTTCGAGAACTGATTTGCAAAGGAGGCAGCTCCGTAATTTTAATGACTATAGAAAAACACGTTAAAAAATACTCAAAATGGGGTTTTCGCAATTCATAAACAAAAAAGAGTTGTAAGCCCAACAAAACGCTAGTTTTTTCCAATTATATCCACTAATTATTTAGCGCAAAGCATAAAATTAAAAATGCAAAAATACTTTTTATTATAAGATTTGAAAACAACGACTCTTCCTCCTCGTTCGACATTGGCTGGTACAAGTCAGTGAGCCCTGACACACAAAAATAATATAGAAAAATGCTAGAACCTCAGCAACAAAAATAACATTTATGCTACCATGCTCATGCGTATCGTATCTTCCAAAGCAGAGATCCATCCCACCAATGAAAGCAATGCTATATCATAAAGGTTATGAGTTAGCTATTCATAATATTTATAGCAACAAGCACAAGCGCGTCCTTCCCTTTATTATTTTTCTAATTAATGTCTATTTAACATATTTTTGCTAATTTATAAGTTTTAAGATGTACATAATAATAATAAAACACATGAAATTGTATTGCTTAAAAGTAACGATAAAAATAAAATAAACATATTATGAATAATGGGCACATATTATTACGAACGAGGGTACCTTTGGTCGACCACGCATATTTTTTCATGATGGGCCCACAGCCAGACACCATCAGGTGGATGATCCGGACTTCGCAAAACAGAAATGTTGGGATGCAATGCTTTTAGTGTTTCTTTAGAATATAAACTAAAAATAATTACTTATTACTAAGATACGAACAGTGAAGTTCAAAAAATAGTATAGTTGCGCACCCACAAGACTTTTATGCATATGAAAAATTTCTTAAGAATATTTATGAATTCAAAAATTGCGTAAAATGTAAACTCAAATTATAAATAAAAGTATGAAGAGGTCATACACGTGGTTTCAGTATGCACTTTCATTATAACTACAATATTTTATTCTCTTAATACAGCTAGTTTCCACAGTTCATAAAAAACCTGTCAATAGTGAGCGCAAGCTCCACATTTTTATACAGCAACACATGAACTTTGACCCCTCCTTCGGCTTTACGCGCCAAAATTCGGTCTAACCTATAACCTTCATGGTTACGCGGCGGACGTTTTAAATAGACTTGGGGAGAAAGAAACCAGTCTTGCAGAAATAATGATGATAATAATAATTGCTTATTAACATTCTGATGAATATCATTAATAATATTGAAAACCTCCAATAAAAATTTCATTCCTCGCGGCCGATAAGGCGACTGCAATGGCTTCAAAGTACTCCTCACCGTCAACAAACCTAATAAAAGAGTCGGGAACATGCAATAAATAATAAGCAAATATACAGGGGCTTAGCTTATGAAAAAAAACATAAGATGGGGGTACCATTTGACCAGATTGAGCGGTCTAACTGGTGCAAAAGAGCAATATGGGTTACGATTGGTCCATGGAGACTTGTCAAGCAGAATGGAAAGTTCCTTATAAAACTGGTTGGAATTGTATCTAAAATAATAATGCACAGCGATGAGCAGAGAATTGAGTGAGGATTAAAGTTCCTGAACATATTGAAGAGAGGACCATAAAAGTGAAGCTACTTTTATAAAATAAAAACATCACGCGTAATAATATATGTATATTACGTAATTCATTACATTTAGTACCAAAACCAAATTATTAAATTATAATATAATAAAAACAATTAGTAAACGTGACAAGACAAAAACTTACAAATCCTTAAAATTAACTTCGAAAATGCGGTAAGCATTAGAAAAAATAACTTCTTTTTTAAATGATATAAATGTTAGCTAAGAAAACTCCACTAATTTTATAATAAGTACGCAACTGTAGCCTCGCGCTCCTCTGTTCCCACTAACTTTTACAGTTGTTTCGCTAGTTTGCATTAAAATCCGAGAAAAAACAAAAATATCAAACAGAAAACAACCTATCAAATAGAAGAACGCCGCGAATTTCAGTAAGTTTATTGTTGAGGTACATTACATAACTATCTTTTATTATAAGCCAAACCTTAAGAGAAAAATATCAACACCAGCAAAACAGTGTTTGGAAAATAATGAAGTTAATAAAAAGACTCAAGCCCGCCAGTATTAAATTTTCATGTAGTCACGGTGTCTTACTGGCCTATAAGGCAACCAGCCTTGCTAAGCCGTTAAAATGGTATGCTTTATAAAAAATACAGCAAATATATAAACTCAGCTACTAATAGTCAGCCCCAGTATCACGTGCACAATCTAGTCAAACAAAATTCGATTCGCACCATCGAAGAGAGGCGAAGCACGGATTGGTTCTTTTACTACGCGTTTGCTAAAAACACTTTTTTTGAAGGCAAACGCCAGCGCGGTCAGCACGTTATATATATATATATATAGAAAGGCACGAAAAGTTTAAAAATTTTAGTTGCCCCATTATGTTGTTGCCACTACCAAGAAGAAAATTTTTTTTAATTTTCTTTTAGCAACTCTATGAATATTGCTTTACTTTTTTGATTTATTTTTAATTATTTTAATAATATGAATTATAAAAAACCTTTTTCCGCGCTTTACAAGCTAAAAAAGCGAAACTGCCACGGAATCGGTAGCCACCGCTGTTCTTAGATACTAACCCTTAAACGTACGTAAATATAAATATTGCCTCATACTATGAATACGAAGCAATAAATAAACCTTCAAAGTTTTTATTTCCAAAAGTATCTAAAAAGGAATATCTGGAGATGCCAAACCACTAATTTTATAAAAATAATGAAACCTGAATAGAAAACTTTAAAATAATCAATTATTTAAAGCAAATTTAAAGCATTTTTACAGTAGAGTCTTAAAAGAAATAAGGTGAGACGAACAATAATTATTGGCTAGTAGAGCATAAAAAGTATAAGAAAAAAATTCTACAAAGAAAATTAAAATACGTAACAAATACCGCTAAAACTTCTGGAACGGACAATATTAAAGGATTCGATAAAACTTGTTGCAAGTATTTATAAAAATTATCAACGGTGGTGTGGAGATCGTTCGCCCACGTGCGAAGTCGGTTAGGCAATTTTGACTGTTGCTGGATATACATAGAAGCAGTAATGTTCACATATAACCATGCACAAGTAATGCACTTCATATAAACTCAGAAATAAGTCACAGATGTGTAAGAAAGGGGTGGTAGAGTAGTATCAATTAGTTAGAAGTTAAAAGACTTTAATTAGTAAAAAAAACATTTTAAACATTGGTTTTTTTTTTATATAAGACTTTAAAAATAGAATATAAGAATGTTCTATAAAATTAGAAAATTGTATTATATATTATACCAAAAAAAATTCGAGGGCGTCTATAATAAATACTATTACATACAACTTTACTAGTTAATAATTTCAGTAGCATTAGCTCCAAACATCACAAGATTAAAGGTTTTAAAGGTTTTATACCCTTTCATAAAAGTAAAAATATAAAAAAGTATTAATAAAGTACTGGAAGCTTTTTAGACTCCATAACTTTCGTAATGATTTTATGTAAATCATAAAAAGCACTTTCTCTTTTATTGACCGACCAAGAGAGGGGGCCTGGTTTAATAAATATAATTATTAGTAAATAATTATAGAAATAATATATAATAATATATTGGCTAAAAGATGAACAAAGATAAAGGAGGATTAAAAAAAAACCAATAAATTAAAAGTAAAAAAACAGAAAAGAAACAAAGCCTGAAATACCGTGTTGTAAATGTACCACATAAGCAGTGTAATTATGAAGTTCTTTTATATTTTTGACTTGCTTGGCCTCTACATTTACTACTGTAACGGGCTCCTTGTAGGCTAGCTTTAATATATACATATAAAAGAATTGAGCGTAGGTAAACAGCCTTAATTCTTCTATAAGGCAATATATAGTTATATAAAGGCATGAAAATAAAAAAATAAGGTGACAGATATATATATTACGTAAGGAATATGAGCGTTGTCATTGTGCTGGTCTTTTAATTAAAATAAAATATTTAAAAACAGCTGAAAGAAGAGCAAGCAAGCAATGAAAAGTAGTAAAGTTAAAAAAGGTTTCCCTATTAGTATGAAAAACTTTTAAATTGTTTATGTAAACCTTCCGAAAACTGTGCTTCAGAATCTACCCGCAAATAATATCCACGATTACTATTCATAATTGAACAGTACCATCGTTATTACACAGTAATAACACAAGTAAAACAAACCTTGGTTTGTTACTACCGTTAGCCGCTACGGCCATCTACGTCCGTACTTTTTTGGCAAATAGCTTGATTGACCCATACGAAAAGTATAGGTAGATTCTTCATGTACGCTGCTACAAAATTAAACGAAGTTATCGGTGGCCCGGAAGCTCTAATACAAGCAGACTCTAATTGCTTATTGATTAAGAGCGGAAAACATTGTATAGTACTCCTAATTCTTGTGGCAAAGGTTTTAAATCTATAAAGCTTCGTAAGCCTGTGTTATCGTCATGACAGCCTGAGGTCCCCAGAGAGAGAAAGGTCGTCAGGTTTGCAATTTAAAGGTTTTAACGAAACCAAATCTTTTAAAAAAGTTACTCTTACTAGCACAAAACGACGCATGATCATTTAACTTATAAAACTTGTTGCTTTAATTCTCCTTCGCGAGCTCTTTGACAACCATGTACGATAAAGCTGATAAGGAAGTAGCTGAAACTACTACGAGCCCTCACAACTAATTGAGGGACAAGCATTACATTTTCATTTCTGACTTATAAAAATCAACTTCGACTTAACTATTCACAGTTTTTAGGAATACCTAACAATGTATCTAATAATATATTACTGTTATTAATCAAAATGGACTTAATATTTCCGCAGTTTGTTATATTATTGATAAATTTGTTTTTTCTTTTCAATAAAAATATGTTGACAACTAATTCTTGGGAAAAACTAATATAAGAATCAGTTAATTTTTTAAACGGCGGATCTTTGCAACAAATGAAAACAACTGTCACGTCAACAGTATACAATTTTGTTGGGTAACTCTCCGTCAGATTTAGTCAAAAATGCTCCGAGGTATAGCAACAAGCAAGGACGTGCGTAAGGTAGTTGTTAAACAGTACTGCCAAGGCAATACCGCTTATGAGGGCGCTTACAAAATCAAACGTCCCAAAACACTATCGAGAAAAGGAAGGTGTTAAAGTTGAAGGTCAAGAAAGCAACAATCTCATTTATAATTGTGGAGAAAGGGCGACGAAATACGTTACGAGAAATTACGGAACAGTGAAATGAAGAGTTAAGATTTAAACCATCTCGTGCATGTTGTAGACAATAATTATACAAATCTGGTCTAAAATTTTTTAAGGTACGGCACAAATATTGTGTACGTTTTCCGGCCAAGGGTATTTTTTTATTACACGAAGGCAAAAGAATAACCACTTCTCATCAAGATTAAAAGAAATATCGAAATAACTAACAAGGTTAGTACTAGTATCATAAATGCGTAATTGGCGACACTACTTTGACCCCAGTAACAGGTACTGTTTTGAAAAGAAAAGGAAGTAAAAAGTACTCCGCCCAAAATAAATAGACTTGGAAAAGAAAACATGTTAAAAATGAGTTATTAAGGAAGTGGACCATTGGCAAAAAAATTATTAGAAAAAGCCCGTTAATATTTTCAAAACCGTTTATCAAGTTAAAATTATGTGTACATACAACTGACGAGGCTACATTAATTCGAGGCTTCAGTTTTTAGTGTTGGCGCCAGCTATTTCTGTATAAAGTTTAATTATCTTACAACACGGATTTAGAATTTGAATAACTGAGAGTAACTAATTATGTCTATTAGGTGCTTAGTATACATATAAATATTACATTAGCAAAATCACATAGGGTTTCAAACTGAAAGTGATAAAATTAAAATTAACAAAAGTAGGGGCCCTGATATTCCAAATCGAATGCTAAATATCTTCTTCCATGGCTGTTGTGTACTTTTTAAAACTAATTAATTCAGTTTTTTATCAGGGTTACTTTCCCACAAGATGGAAACAATCAGAAGTTCTATTTATACCAAAAAGTAACCATACTAGCGACTATGCTAAAGATTGTAGGTCATTTAGTTTACTTTCGTGTGTTGACAAAACTGTTGAATCCATAATACTCACCAAATTTAAAAAATTCGCTAACTTTACAAATTTACTCCCCCCACACCAATTTGACTTTAGAGGAGGACATTTTACAACACAGCAAATTTTAAGGATTGTAGAGAACAATACAAAAGTCCTTACTTACAAGCAATCAACAGTTACGGTATCTTAGATTTTGCAAAAGATTTTGATAGAGGTTGACATGAAGGACTTATTTATAAATTAATTATAAACAAATTACCAGAGTATCCCTTTGGCGTTGTGCTATATCCATTTCTTCGCAATAGAGCATTTGTCGTATGAATAGGAGAAGACTTGACCGTCCCCAGGCACTTGAGCTGGGCTTCCTCAGGGTTCTCTACTATCAGCTTTATTATTCTCGCTATATACATGCGATAAAGCCTCGCCTACCTGCAAAGTTTCCCTAGCTCTATACACTGACGACACTGTCATACATTGTAGTTCGAAATAACTGCATTAGCTAATAATTATGTGCAGGCTTTTCTTTATACATTTTGAAAAAAGGTTGCAAAGTGGAAAATTACGATAAACCCTACTAAATGCCATGTGATGGTCATCTCAAGAAAAAAGCAAAAAGGGAAGAATTAAAGCTCTAACTATATTGCAAACATCTCTTCTTTGGTGCAATCAAGTAAAATACTTGGATTTATTATTGACTTTAGACTTAACTGGGAGCCTCATACCGATTATCTTTTTTAAAAAAATTAAGAATATAACTCCTGCTTTATATCCTCTTATATGCAAAAGAAGTTATTTGAATCTAAAAAAAAAATTCCTTATATATAATGCTATTATCAGACCTATTATTAGTTACGTATCTGGTTCATGGTCTTACTGCTCGACTTTGCATATCAACTTCATATTCTTTAAAACAATCTCCGTAGAATGTTTACAGGCGCACCTTGGTTTGTGTGAAATTTCCAAATACATCACGAATGTAAAATTGAAAACCTCTTTTGTTTACCTTAAACGGATGGCTATAAAAATGTTTCACACATTATGAAGGAAACCCCAATTTAATAACTATCGACTTGAACTATACTCCCTCAAATTTTTTAATTATAAATGACCTTAACATTTTTTGGTTCTATCTCAGAAATCCGAGTATTAAAAAGTCTTTAGAATATTTATTACATGACTGTAATATTCTAAATTTTGAGTTAAAAAATTTTTTTAAACGCTTAAATCGCAAAGACATTATCGCTGCCTTTGTATATTAAAGAGGACCCAAAAGGCTTTAATTTGTAAAGGAGGCTGCCCCCTCAACCCTCTCCGTAACTATGGAATTTAGATTAAACAGTTTAAGTTATAACAGTTATAACTACTGTAAATTAAACCACATGGGTGACTCGTACATTTTTTACTTCTTCTGTTTTTCCTACATTTCTTTCTCTTTCGGTTTTTACCGCTCCTTAGTGTTTTAGTTTTAGGTTGGTTTAGAGAACCAGCGATATTATAAAGGTTATTTAGTCCAGAAGGCCAGAACAAAAACTAAACGTCTAGAGGGCGTTATAGTTGAAGTTATAAAATAGTTTAGTAGTCTAGTGGACGACTAAGTAAATACTAAGTTAACTAGGTATACTAAATATTTTAGAGATTTAGGAACTTTAAAAGATTACAGTAAAACTTTGGCTTGTCTTTTTCTTCTATGTTACGTTAGAGCTAGAAATTAACAATATAACAGTATGGTAAGAAGAATAGAGGAAATAAAAAATGTATAATGCAAAATAGTTCAGTAATATTCAGCAGTCTGCGCCTGAAAATTTTGACCGGACATTTGTCCAAGTCAATAATTGACCACAAAAAAATTTTAAGTTTTAACCAGTGACATTGATTTGCGTTAATACTAATGTCGTCTTTATTTTTCTGTTTTGTTACTTTTACCTTTAAAATATTTTACCAATAATAAAGGCTTCTTATTCATATAACTTGTTTTATAATCAAAATTAGACCGCTTTTTTTTTTTTTTTAA